TAATTAGAGATGTCTTCGAGTTCGAGGGGGGGGGGAGCAAACCGAGCCGGACGATTTGGTCAGTCGTACTTTTAAACACATTTTTGTTTTGCTATAGAACATCTACAAATTCACAATCTGATTACATAGAGCAGCAGCAGGAGTGAGGTTGTCATGGCAACCAGATACACGCGAATTATTATTTAATTATTTTGCCACCGTTTGCTACACCCTTCTTTAGAACAGAAAAAGGCACTTCCAAAACTGTGGCATCAAAGATGGAAACATAATTCATGTATTTAAAAATTGTATTTCCATCTTTTTTGCCACAGTTTTGGAAGTGTCTAAAATGATTGTTCGCATATGTACAAGTCATTGGTGTTTGGCGATGAGTTTTTTTTTAGTTTTATTGAGTTTTCCCAATACTTTGGGCAATATAGTGTATGTTTGGTGCGGTAGGGGGCCCAACCTCATATTCTTTCATAGGGCCCAAAATTGCTAGTGGTGCCCCTGGTTAGGGTTAGGATGAGGGTTTGGTTTTGGGTTAGTTGCATGTAATTATGCATAATTTATTGTTATTATAATAGAAAGTACATGTAAACGTGTAACAAGGACACCTTAAAATAAAGTGTTGCCAAGATTTTATTGCATAGTATTATTGCAAGAATTATGAGAGAAAAATGTACCTAATTGTGATGCAAGTAATGCATGCAAAAAATCTAAAAAGTCTTAAAAATAGGCCTGATTGTCTTGCCTTCTTGCTTCTTTTGATATTTGAGATGAATTATGACCCAGACATGTGCTTGACAGGTTACATCAGCCTCACCTTTCTGCTGTACTGTATGTAACCTACATCTGAGATCAAATGAAACTACACCAGATGTTACTATTACATAAAATATGAATTTGTAAGTTGATGTTGGTCAAGATCCCCTACGACTCTGTATTTATTTTTTAAATACTGTTTAACAAACAGAAATTTTTCTGCATTAATTTTCATCAGCTCATACTTTAAATGCATCAGCTTATAGGTTTTGCAGAGTGTACAATAAAAATAAGCATGCAAATGGTGCTTAATAAATTTGAAACACGTTGTAAACCCACAAATGTTTTGTGCTTCAGGTACCGAGGTGGAGAAGGAGATGTGTGTGGATGAGGTCTACCCTTCATCTGTGCCCTGTTTGGTTCCCTGCCCTAAAGACTGCGCTCTCAGCCTCTGGACTGAATGGTCCACCTGCTCCCAGACCTGCTCCAGCAAAACCGCAGAGGGCAAGCAGATGAGAACCCGAGCCATACTGGCTTACAATGCAGGAGAAGGTACAGAAGATTAAACTCAGAAAGCTAAACACATCGCTAAACTCACACAATACTAAAAAAATAAAAAAAGACACATTTTAGGTTAAAATAAAATTATAATATACACTACCGTTCAAAAATTTGGGATCAGAATGATTTTTTATGTTTTTAAAAGAGTTTCTTATGCTCATCAAGGCTGCATTTATTTGATAAAAAATACAGGAAAAAATGTAATATTGTGAAATATTATTATGATGTAAAATAACGTTTTTCTATTTTAATATACATTAAAATCTAATTTATTCCTGTGATGCAAAGCTGAATTTTCAGCATCATTACTCCAGTCTTCAGTGTCACATGATCCTTCAGAAATCATTCTAATATGAATTATTATCAGTAAGAAGCTGTTGTGCTTCTTAATAATTTTTTGGAACCTATGATACTTTTTTTTCAGGATTCTTTGATGAATA